CAGAGGTAGAACAAAAGCCTTGGTGCTGTATGTCTTTGGCATTCAGATTTATTTTGAAGATCAGCTCTACTTTCTAATTAGACACAAAAACTGTCTAGAATGAAGAGGGTGGATTTCTGGATAGGGGTGATGGTGTTAGAGCTTTGGGCCTCAGAATTGTCCCCTCTTCGTTTGTTTAGTGGAAGCTGTCTGATTTAAAAAGGAAAGTAAGGAAGATCATTGTCATTTCTTTTAAATTAAAATCAGGGTTGGACAACATATTAGCAAGGTCACAGACATAATTGAAACTATATTAGCTTGAAATATTGCTGACAGAAGGGTAAAGGTTTTTTATGCAGTATCAGAACTTCAGAGAAAGTAATCTGAGTTAAGTTCTTTGGCACATTTGAAACTGGGATTGATTTTCTTTCCTTGTCTGTATGTTCTGATTTTGCTATAATGAGCATGAACTAACTATAATTTTTAAAAGAAAGTTATAAAAACAAGAAACTGATATGCACTTGCCTAATCCCTTAAAGATTTATCGAAGGCTCAGTTTGCAATGAAGAGTCCCATTAAATAAACAAGAATCTTAGGAATAAATGGTTTTGTTTGCATTATGGGTTGGCACAAATATGTTCTGCGTACTTTGATTTGTTTCCTTTAATAAGTTAAGAACTTGAAAAGATTATTGTCTTCCTAGCTCTTCCCCTGAAACTTAGTTTCTCCTCAAGTTGATATTTATTTTCTTGCCTTTCTTTCATTATGCTTCTCCAGTTTTGAGGAATACTTAAATTTGAGGTTTAAAAATCTCTATGACTATACTATGATCTCAACTCATTTTTGAAAAAATTTTTATTTATTTTATTTCATTTTTTAAAAATGTTTATTTATTTTTGAGAGAAGAGAGAGCACATGAGCAGGGCAGGGGCAGAGAGAGAGGGAGACAGAGGATCCGAAGCAGGCTCTGTGCTGACAGCAGACAGCTCGATGCGGGGCTCGAACTCACAAACTGCCAAGATCTTAACCTAAGCTGAAGTCAGAAGCTTAACCGACTAAGCCCCCAGGCACCCCAATTCATTTATTTTTGTTTAAATATGTAAAATTGAGTCCTTTCACATACTTTGTGGTTTATTTTGCTTTTATTGCTTCTACCCTGGATTGCTTTTTTTTTTTTCTTTTTCTTTTGTTAACTAATTACTAAATAATGCTACTAAAAAGATCCTACTCTGGACATACCTACTCCATTTTTGTATTAGTTTTCTAATTCAGAATCTAAATTCTTGCATTTATGTCTTCACAACCAGTATCTTATTTACTCTTGCTTCCTGCCCTACTTAAATATGTGGGAACTTTTGAATTTAAATGTTTATCGAACTGAACTTTAACTGGGCTCCCTTTCAGCCCAAGTGGCTGGAAGCAAAACTGAAGTTTTATATCTTGAGAGAAAGCATGGTTTTGTTTAGAAGTGGGATTGCTGTTAACTCACTAAGGAAAACAGTCCTTTCTTGAATGCTTTGATTATAGTTCCCTGTTTGCACAGAAAGGCATGGACCAGATGTATTTGTATCTATACAGTCAGGTTCTCAATAGCAGGCTGTGCCAGGGGATCTCATCTCATTTTCTGTCAAGCTAAATCAGATTTTGATTGTTAAGAGTAAACACATTCTTTCTGCCTAGAATTTACTCTTCAGCATCTTCTGCATTAGATTAAAGCTATAAGCTCTGAGATACAGGGAGATAGAAAAAGAATTCCATCTGACACAGCCACATGTTAATTTTTTATTTTTTTTGTTTTAAATCATGCGCTTAGTTTGCAAGACAGCATTTTAGGTGCTGATGGTGTCAAAAGCCAAGTTTTGTAGTCTCTTAACATTCCATAGAACTTTATTTTTTGATCGAAAGCATGCTTTATATGATTCTTCCTTTATTCCTTTTGCTCCTTTTTCCTCTAAAGACGCCCAACACAGACATGCACGTACACACACATGTACACATGTACATGTACATATGCACACATGCACACACATGTACCCAGACACGGTATCTGTCTCTTCTCTTTGCCCTCCTCCGTGTGACTTTTCTGAGGAGGTAAGATTTCTACTATAACCTACCACTCTTCACATTCAAATGAAGGAAATGGCAGATTGTATGCCCATCTTGTTGTTAGGGTAAAGTGGAATTTTAAGATTGAGTGTTATTTATAACACTGAGTGAGATGTGTATAAATGGAGAAAAGTCTAAATGTTCATCTGTCGCCTCCTAACTCAGGGTAGGTCTTAAGACTTGGATATTTCTAGTTAGGCTCAGAAGAAGATGGCCAGTGTTAGACAAGGAAGCCCAGTTTTCAATATCTTGGCAATCCTGACATTGTTCCTATACAAGTAGAGAAGTCAAAATCCAGAAGCAAAGGGCTCATACTGTATTACAGTAAAAGATTCATGGGAGGTATGGTGGCTGGCTTATTTATAGTTATTGCCTCAACTTTAAAGCTGCTATATTCTACTGTAGTAGAAGGGACTCTAACTTAGAAAACCTAAATTCTTTATTAAGTGAAGCTCCCCTGTGTTCTTTGGTATGGATTCCCCACGCGTGCGCACAGCCTCACATACTCTCACACAAGGGCCCTGCTCCCTCACGCAGACCCCATGCCAAGATTCTCTGAGGAAATAGATTCTTGACGTTTCTTCATTAATTCAAGAATGTGGCATAAAGGTTACAAAATGAACACAGGCGAGCAGCTGCTTTGATGGTGGACGGCCTGTCCCCAGGGAGGCAGTGGTACACTCTTTCCACCGCAGCAGCCTTAATGACTTCAAATACCTTGGTATTCATTTACATCCTCATTTAAATACTTGGTAGGAAAATAATTACACTGAGGTGTTTGATGAGATGAAATTTGATCTCAGCAGATGGAGTAAGGCTTCCCCTTTCATCAGCGGGGGGAAACCAAGTGTCATTTAAATGAAAATCTTCCTGAAATCTCTTTATTCCTAAATCTGCTGCCCATATCCCCGAGGAAATGCTTCCATCAAGAAGGCTTGGTGAGATTGGGAAAGGATACCAATTTCAGAAGTAATTGTCATCAGGTACAGCAAGAATTTTCCCCCACCCCCAAGGGTTTTTTTAAACGCTTGCTGTGGCTTTCAGGTTTTGGCTGGAGATAATACACAAATGTGAATTTGAAAATGCAAGTTTTTCCCGGCCGGTGTTTTGGATCCAGATCTGTGTGCTGGTGACACGGGAGAGTGCCAAACACCGCAACCCTGTCGGCCTTGAATAGTCCACCGCGCTGGCAACGGGCCTATGAGACAAGTAGCATGTTCACCCGTACCCGCCTCCCCAAGCTGGCATCTCACTGCGATGCGGCACTTGAGTTCCCAGGCAGTGCGGAAGCTAGTGTGGGAGGAGAGAAGGAAAGCAGTCTCATCCACGGTTTCCATGGAAGCAGCATACCATCCTTAGTGCTCAGAGAGGAGCTGGTTTCAAGGGAGGTGACTTTTTACAGGTACTTGCTGCCGAAAAATAATTTTCCTGCCAGAATAGACTGTGAGTGCTTTAGCCTGTTTTCACTCTTGACTGTTTATTTTACATTTCGCTTGCCGGGCAAGATTTTGCACAAACGTGTCTGGATTTCCTATGGAATTTTCCCGAGAACGTATGTAGTCTCTGTCCTGATAGCGTGAAGACCAGCGACCCCCACCGGCTAGAGCTGCTGTTACCCAGGGGGCACTTCAAGGCGGTGGCTCCCGTAGTGATCCCAGAGACATTTCACTTGCATCTGGCCGTCTTATTGGCCACAGCAGGCTCAGTGGCAAGTCAAAAGGCGATTCAAGGGGGCAGTCTATTTCATTGCAATGCCCTGCGGGGGCACTCTGGCTGCTCCAGGGTTTCTCTTACACTGTGGACTGGAGGGCCAGCTGTATTCTGTGTGGTGGGTGGGAGGAAAGGGGAACCAGCTGCACACTCGGTGGCTAGCGGCCAATGGAAAGTATCCCAGCCTCCTGCGCTCTCGCTGTGGCAGTCCCGTCAGCTGGAGCTCTTGTTCCCTGAGGCCAATGATAACTGGGCTTCCCGATGCGCCTGTTAGCCCTTTGTTTTGGGAAAACCAGACCAGTCCAGGGTGGGGTGGGGGGATAGAGAAGACAAGAAAAGGCACCCAAATTACAAAGCAAGTCAATACATTTACAATCTGTATTCTTTGTAAAAGAAAAGAAAAGCATAACTCAAAAATCAGGATGGAAGGAACTGGCACTTCTCTATAAGCTCACAGAGGAATGACTAACAAAGAAACTACTCAGTATAATGCAGTCTCCTCCAGAAAAGCTCCAAGCCATTCCTGTCATACTCTTGGCAACTGGTGAGGTTTTGTGAAGGGATCTGGGAACAAGTGGGGTCTTTGGGTGGACACTTTTCTTTGTCTGCAGCCATGCTGAACATCACCTTTCAGACTGCCCTGTCTTCTGTGCCTTTCTTGAGTGATTGGGCAGGATGAGATGAGAATATAAACATTTGAGATATTTCAGTATGTCTTAGTACTTCGAACAATCATCTCTCAGGTGTGTTCCTTTTGAAGACACCTCTCTTCGTGTTATGGATTACACACACCTACCTCCCCCTGGCCTTTTGAGCTCCATTTTGGAGAGACGTGAATGCTATGGTTTTGTGTTATCAGTTACTTTTTCTGACTAGAAGCATTTTAGTTTCAAGATACTACAGTGGGTCTAGTTGACAGTTGATCTTTAGCCTAAACCTCATCCAATTCAGACTTGCTCCTTGAGATCTCAAATTTCAGGGTATTCCTACCTTCTTTGGGAACAGGATTCACCATGGTCTGTGTTTGTCAAGGTGTATCAAGGTGAGTCAGAGCAGCCCATCACTGCTTTGGGTTATTTATTTGATCTTGGTTTATGAAGGCTCAGAAGAGCTCAGAGGTTGGGTAGTGTTTACTAAGAGGTGGTAGGCTAGTTGGCTGCCCACTAGGTTGATGTAAGAAATGACATTCCTGTCTGTTTTCCTAGATATTCAATGCGACAAGAGAGCTGTCTAACACTGCGGCCTATCAGTCTGTCCGCATCTTCTCTGTGTCGCTCACTGAGGCAGAGCAGGAACTGGAGGACCTGGCCAAGGTTGACTTGCAGTGGTCTAAACCCACCTCAGGTGAGTGACTGTGGAACGTGTGCCATCTCTTGCGTACTGGGTCAGTGCCCTAGGAGGACTCTGGAGCCCTGAATTTGGTTCTGATCTATTTATTAGGATTCAGCCACCCTTATGCTCATTTCTCGTTGACTCTCCACCTGAGTTCTGGGGGTAGCCACTTCATGCATTTCTTCCCAAGATTCCCCCCTGCTATGAGCAGATGACACTTCCTTCAGCTTCACTGAACAGACTGAGGCCACTCACATGAGCTCTGCCAGCATCTCTCAACACTGCCTCAATGCTCTTCTCTTTTTCTCTTCCTTCCTTTGTTTCTGTGTCTGAACACAGCTGAGTGCTGTCCTTTCAGGGCTACCTGTGATGTGGGTGCTTCCCCTTCCAGGGCCTTCTACCCCTCGAGCTCTGGTCTTTCACCCCCATGTCCATTCAGCACAAAATCTTTATTTCCCACCTGTTCTGTGTCAGGCTTTGTGCTGGACCCCAAGGACACAGCAGTGAGCAGGACAGACACAGGCTCTGCTCTCAGATTCTGCCTTTCTTTTACTCTAAGCAGACAAAACAAAACAAAACAAAACACACACACAAACATGACAACCCCCCTTCTCATGGTGTCTCACCACTCTCCTTTGCTCTGTTAAACTTTTCTAGAGTATTTTCTGTCCTCATTCTTTTCACTGCCTTTTCTATGTTCACTCTTGGTAATTTGTCTTCTCCTTCCACCTCAACAACTTGTTCACCTCAAGGCTGCTGCTGTTCTTCCATTTATACACTCTGGAACACTCTAGCCCTTGACCCTGCTGAAGGACACCTGTTCTCATTGAGCTTGTATTCCAGTGCGGAGGAATACAGGAAATGCTTAATACAATTAGTAAATTCTATACAAAGTGTCTGGTCCTCAGTATTACACTATCTGAATTCTCCCTGTGAGAACTCAGGAACTGAAGAGATTTGGGTAAATTTTTGGATAAATCTCTTGGTCTATGAACTCTCCTTACATGGTATCCCAAACTCAGGAATCTGTTAGGTTTGGATAATATATTATACCTTCCTATTATCCCCCTTTTACTCTCTGAACTCTGAGACCGAATACATTTTTGGGGATCAAGGGATAGGGTGGATGGGGGCGTAAGCTAATGAGACAGAACTATATAAATAAAATACATCAGGGGAGGGGGTGCAGTAGGACTGTTGGGGGCTGGGATGGGGTTGTGGTTTCTCGTTGAGGGTGGCCATGGGGGTCTCAGTTGAGAAAGGCGATGTTTCGGTGATCAGCTGGCAGAGGCGAGGCAAGCAGGTATCTGGGGAGGAACACAGTAGGTCAAGTCGCTGTCATATTCCAAATCTCTGCCACCTCCTCTGCTGTTGTCATGTCACGTCTCTCTGACTGCAGCGGGGAAGGTTGGCCGGTATGAAGGAGCCGCCTCTGATCTAATCATGGTACTCCTCCCGTCTCAATGTCCTCAACCCCAGTCACCTCTACAAAGTCCCCTTAGCCACTTCGGGTCACACACCCATAGGTTGCAGGCATCAGGGTGTGAACATCTTTGGAAGGCTGTTCTGCCTTCCACCCATTCTCATTCCCAAGCCTTTTCAGTGGCTTTCTGTTTTCTCTCCTCCAAGATGTGATTCCCCTCCTGTCTTATCTTCCACTCATCCCCTTTTGTGGCCTAGGCTCCAGTCACATACTTTTCAACATTTTTCCTACTCTGTGTCCTTTTTTAATATATTGTTTCCTCTGGATAGAATGCCAGCCCTGCATTCCCTTTCCCTTCCTTCTTATTTACCTTTTCCTTATACCTAACTGTCAGTGGGCCCACCTTTATACCAGCTACCCACAGCCACCCGGCACCAGCCAGTGAATTTACTGACTCTGCATTAGGTACTAGACATCGGGGATCCAGAAGTGAAGAAGATAAGGGCCCTGCCTTCGAGTAGCTAATAGTTAAGTGGGGGTAAGGAAAACACTGTGCTTAGAAGATTAATGGAAGCACAGGAGAGGGGGTCATTCTTAGACTTTTTGTGATCTGCTTTTCATTTGATATTCTTACTTTTGCTGTTAAAACCCCTTACCACCTGTTTGTACCTCCTGAGGCACTTAACCATATTGGGTCGTCTATTTTATTCAGTTGAATGTCTTATTCTGTAGAATGTAAGAGCTATGAGGAGAGCCTCCATGTCTCTCCATATCTCTTTATTCACTGTATCCCAGCCATCTAGAAGTGCCTGGCACCTAGAAGGTGCTCACTCAGTTTCACAGTTCATTTGAAATTTATTTGAACTTCCAGTATTACACTGTCAACTTTTTGAGTGCCTGCATTGTAGAGAGTTTGGATCTTTTGCAGTGCCAACCCGGTGACTTATATGTAAACTACTATGTTTCTGTCATTTTTTCTTTAACTTTTTCTGACCAGAAAACTTAGGCCATGGAGTTTTCAAGTACATGTCAGCAGTGTGCTGGCTCTTTGGGCGTAACCTGTATGACACATTGCATTATCCCATTGGGCTGATCTCCTCCTCGTGGGGTGGGACACCCATTGAAGCCTGGTCTTCTGGAAGGTCACTGAAAACCTGTGGTGTTCCTACACGAGGGTAAGAAATCATCCTGAAGTCTGGGAGAAAGCCTTGGAAATTATGTAAGACAGAAGGATCATGGTTTCCTTTGGGGAGCCAAATCTGTGTTAAATGTCCAAATATGTATTGAATGTATGTAACTTATTCTGTGAACATGTATGGTATTCTTTTTTTTTTTAAGTTTATTTATTTTTATTTATTTATTTTTTTTCCAACGTTTATTTATTTTTGGGACAGAGAGAGACAGAGCATGAACAGGGGAGGGGCAGAGAGAGAGGGAGACACAGAATCGGAAACAGGCTCCAGGCTCCGAGCCATCAGCCCAGAGCCCGACGCGGGGCTCGAACTCACGGACCGCGAGATCGTGACCTGGCTGAAGTCGGACGCTTAACCGACTGCGCCACCCAGGCGCCCCTAAGTTTATTTATTTTTGAGAGAGAAAGAGCATGAGAGAGCGTGTGAATGAGTTGGGGAGGGGCAGGGAGAGAATCCCAAGCAGGTCCTGAGCTGTCAGCACAGGGCCTGATGTGGGCTTTTTACTCACAAACTGTGAGATCATGACCTGAGCTCAAACCAAGAGTCAGACCCTTTACCAACTGAGCCACCCAGGTGCCACCGTAAGGTATTATTTTTATTGTCATCAGCACCACGATCATTTGAGAATATGTCAGGAAGCAATTATGATCCTTTTCCTTAATAATAGTGATAGCTAATACTTACTGAAGGCTTTCTCTTTGTTGGATACTGTTATCATCACTTTATATGTATGACTTCACTTAATACTCCCAACAACCTCTACAAGTGTAGATACTGTTAACATACTAAGCTACTAAGCTTAAGTCTCAGAGGGGTTTAGTAACTTGCTCATGGCTACAGCTGGTAAGTGGCAAAGTCTGGCTTCAATGTCTGTGCTCTTAACCACTGTGCTCTATTGTCCATGAGAATAAACACTGTAACATGAAGAACAAATATTCATGTAATCAAAGAGATGTATTAGTATATTGATTATGAAAGCACGATCAGGAAAAGCTGGATCAGGAAGAACACATGGGGTGGGGAAGAAAGGAATAGTTATTAAAATCCTGACACTAATATTAACACAGAGATTAATAGTCTGTGAACTGTTTTCATAAATATTATGTCATTAAATCTGGGAAGGGCCCTGGAGAGAGGCTGAACTTCAGCTCTTGGTATAGCTTAGGTAAAGTCATGCCTGTCGGGGAGGGAAGACCTTCCACTTTGGGACTGACAGAATGGCCTAGGTAGAGTGGGAGGGATCTAGATAGAGCCAGGCTTCCCAGGTCTCTGGGGACGTGAAGGGATGCCATCAAGGGTGTGGGGAAGTGGGCATTCTCATCCACACCTCCCATGAGTATAAATTCATATACGTATTTTACAGAGAAGTTTAGGAACATGTTTAAAGCTTTGAAAAAAATGTGCCCTTTGACCCAGCAATGTCATTTCTGGGCACTTATCTTAAGGAAATAAGCCTATATGCAGTGATTTTAGCTATGAGGAAGATAAGCAAAAAGCTTAAAAAAATCCAAGTGTGCATCAACTGAGTACTAGTTGAGTAAATTTATTGTCTGCATGAGACACTCACAAAAAAAGACTCCTCTTCTCTGGTTTTAGTGACCTTATCTGGAAACTGGGATGGCCCCCTCTGAACTTGTACTGACTGATACATTTATCCTGGGAAGAACCTGGATAGATATGAAAGTTGGAGGCTATTCAACATGTTTTCATGGGAAACAGAGTGGTTCGGTCTAATCTTGTGTTGCTATCATCAGACGTTTACCCCAGATGAAAGTTGGATAGACACTCAGTTTAGGGACCATGATGTGATCGGTCACTAGCTCTCTCATGATACTTGTGCTTCTTATCAATTTTAGGTTCGCTCAGTCTGATTCTGTAACCGGTCCCAGTAAGAACTCTGTTCTCTGGAATGCCATGATCCATCCACTACATAATATGACTCTGAAAGGGATGATATGGTACCAGGGTGAGTGTTAATTTGTTGTTTCTCCATTGTATTAGTTAGCTTTTGCTGTGTAACAAACCAGCCCAGGATTTAGGGACTTAAAACAATAATAGTTTTATTTGGCTCCCCATTTGGTGGTTTATTGGGGTAGTTTTCCTGTATCGACTACTTTGGTTAATTTCTTTCAGGATCTTTTATGTGTCTTTGGCCACCCGGCAGGTGTCTGGTGGCTGGATGGCCTCGGATGGCCTCTCCCTCCTGTCTGTTGACTGCTGGAGCACCCTGGTACTCAAGTGGTCCCTTATCCTTTAGCAAATTAGTTCAGATTCTTTATCATTTACACAGCAGCCTCAGGGTTGCAAGTATATCAAGAGAGAACAAACCCCAGAGCTGAAGCACTCTTCAAACCTCTGCTTGCATCATGTTTGCTGATGCCTCCTTGGCCAGAGCAAGTGACAAGGCCAGTCCAGAGAGACTGCAGGAAGACTCATTCCCTAAGGGCATGGGTAGAAGGTGGGGAGTAACATGTGGCCATGTTTGCATCTACCCCAACCCCCTCTCATAATCTGGACTGTTTTTAGGGGAGTCCAATATAAATGTTAACAGGGACCTGTACAATTGCACATTCCCTGCGCTCATTGAAGACTGGCGTCAAGCCTTCCACCGTGGCTCCCAGGGGCAGACAGAGCGTTTCTTCCCATTTGGATTTGTCCAGGTATGTGTTGAGAGGAAGCAGGTTTTGGGTATTGGGGTGGGGGTGTCCTGTGGAGGTCTCTTTCCTGGAATCCATATGCCTTTTTTTGCCCTCATAGTCTGCTGGTCAAGAACTAACGGTAAGACTTAATTCATCTCAGTTCACCGATGGGACAATTACATCTTCAAAAAAAGTTAATAAGTAATATTTCTTTTATTTAACATTATTTTTTTAATGTTCATTTATTTTGAGAGGGACAGAGCACAAGTAGGGGAGGGGCAGGGAGAGAGGGAGACACAGAATCTGAAGCAGGCTCCAGGCTCCTAGCTATCAGCACAGAGCCGGACACAGGGCTTGAACTCATGAACCATGAGATCATGACCTGAGTGGAAGTTGGACGCTTAACCAACTAAGCCACCTAGGCGCCCCAGTAATATTTCTTATTAAAAAATGAACACATACATGTTCATTAAAGATATTTAAAAGATAAGCAAAAAAAAAAAAAAAGCTAAAACATTTCCAATTGCACAATCCAGAATCTGTTCATGTATTTTCGCAGGAGGATCCATACCATAATACTGTACCATATCTTGCTGCTTCTCTCTCTCTCTTTTTAATGTTAATTTATTTTGAAAGAGATAAAAAGCAAGTATGGGAGGGTCAGAAGAGAGAGGGACAGAGAATCCCAAGCAGGCTGCATGCTATCAGCGCAGAGCCCCATGCAGGGCTCAAACATATGAACTGTGAGATCATGACCTGAGCCGAAATCAAGAGTCGGGCGCTTAACCCACTGAGCCACCCAGGCGCCCCTTGCTTCTTCTCTTCATATGTATTGCGAACATTTTTTCATGCCAATAAATATATTTTTAAGTTTATTTATTTATTTTGAGAGAGGGACAGAGAGAGAGAGAGGGAGAGCATGCAGGGAGGGGCAGAGAGAGAGGGAGAGAGAGAATCCCAAGCAGGCTCTGCTGTGTCGGCACGAAGCCCGATGTGGGGCTCAAACCCACAAACCATGAGATCACGACCTGATCCAAAACCAAGAGTTGGGTGCTCAACCGACTGAGCCACCCAGACGCCCCTCATGCCAATGAATATTAATCTTGAGCACAATTTATAATGATTGCAGAATACTTTGAAATATGGTTGTATTGCAGTTTATTTAACTAGTTCTCAAGAAATGGACCCTTCGGTTGCTTTAAACATGTTGCTTTTGTAAGCAGTGGTGCGTTGATTGTCCTTGTAGCTAAATCACTGCATGCGTGCTTAATTCTTTCCATAAGATAAATTCCCAGAAATGAAATTGCTGCATTAAATTGAACATTAATTTGAACGTGTCCTCAGGTTTCTCTGTAGAAGTTTATGAATTTGTGTTCAGTGTGTACTCTTAGCAGCTATGTGTGTACTTGGCCGTGCCCTCCCTAACTTGGTGCTGTCCTTTCCAGCCCCTGTAGTGAACCTTGGTCTCTCACTCCCAGCCCACTGCCCCTGCTCTTTGCCTGGAGCACCCTTTCTCTCCTGCACTCTCCTGACCAACTTCGTCCTTTAGATCTCAGCCTGGACATCAGTTAGGAAGCCTTCTGTGACTGTCCAGCATCTGGGGTGCACCACCTCCTTTCCCCCGATGGGTAATTTCTTAGCACCCTCTCCTTCCCCCATTTTCCTTGCATGTCAGTCGCACACGGCATCATGTTTTCCTGCATCACACTTGTATCTCAGGACCTAACTGGTCAGCAGTTATTAAATATGGTCTAACACATAAATGAAAAAATATATCAAGAGAAATCACACTTTTAATTAGTGGCAACTAGACAGAAGGATTCTGCTCTCGTCCTCGCCTAAAAGGAATGAACGTATTTAACCAAGTTGTTGATGGCTTTGCCTTACCTGTTCAAATGACTCCTCCCAGACCTACACTCTTTAGCAGGGTGGTAAGCGGCGACTCTTCTGAAATACAGGAAATGAAACAAGTAAGGTGTTAGAAAAGCGGGGCCCAGCTCACAACATACTAATGGAACAGGCTTTAAGATTTGAATTGGACACATGCTTCCAGATGTCTGCCTCTGCATGTCCCGCAGATACCTTCTGCTCATCGTCCTCACGTGGCTTCTACCTTGTCTTATTGCACCACGCCTTTTCTTGGATGAGGACTTTTATGGACCTCCTTTCCACTTATACTGACTTTACAACCATTTTCTTTCTTCCTTCTTACCTTTGTTTTGACTTCAAAACCAGATTATTCTACTCATTATTGTCAAAATAGCCAGCCCTGTCAGCAGATCTGTATTTCTGGTGGTGGAAACTACATCTGGACTTCTGAGGTTCTTTTTCATCTTTGCCGTGTAGATGGTGATTTGAATGTGACTCCAGCCAATTCAGACCGTGTGTTGTATGCTGCTTATATGCCGTGAACTGTGTGAGGTGCTAGAGATACAGTGCGAATCAGAGAGACCTGGTCATTGCCCTTAGGCCTTACTGTTTGGCAGGAGTCCCTCAGACTCGGGGCTTTAACTGATCACCATCGACAAAAATATGTTGGTTACTTTTGGAAAACTGGGAGCCCTGATCTCAGCCCATCAGAGCCCTCCTTCGGCTCTGTGATTTTGAGCCAGATATTAAATAGGGAGATTATTATTTTGAGTATTGAATGAGCTAACTCGTGTAAAGCCTGGCACATGCCAGATAATGTTCATCAGTGAGAGAAGTCAGAAAATTGGGGGTGGGGGGCACAGTTGGTCTGCAAGGAAAGATGAATTGGCTTTGTAGAGGTGTTGAATTTGAAATGATGGTTGCAATAACTAAAGCACGGTTAGAGACGCAGGACTCAAGCTCAGCATAATGCCCCGGGCCGGACACACGTATCTGAGAGTTGTTAGTAGTGAGGTGACCGGAAGCATGGGAGGGAAAGAAGACCAGGAGGCTATAGGGAGTCCTGAGGAGATGCTTTTGTACAGCGGGTGTGGAGCAACGGGAGTGAAGTGCAAAGTACATACAGTATGCTATTGTAAAGTCTCCTGAATGGGGCCCCTTTTATATTCTTTGGCTATTATATGCCTTCATTAGCGGTGGTATTTCTACTAATCGCTGTGGGAGACTGAACGGCACCCTAGCGGATCTCAGAGTAGGGAAAACAAGAATTTCATTTGGGTATGGAGTATGCTGGTGCCTCCATGTGGCCACTGTGTCATAGTGCAAGCGAGTCAAGTGCACCTGTCCAGTGCGAGTGCGTGGTGAAACTGGAGAATTGCTGCAGGAATTCTCCACAAACGGCCATTTGGAGACCACTTCCTTGGCTTGAGCGGCTGTGTAAGCATCTCTCGGTGTTGGGCCTCAGCCTCGTACTTACCCTAGACTCTTTCTGGTGGCTCTGCTGCTGTGATCCTCCTCATGGCACTGGCTGCCGAGCATGATTCCACTTTCGGTCTGTTGGGTGTTGTGTGGGAAGAAGCAGTGTTGCTCACTGGGTCTTCTCGTGAAATTCCATTGTGAAGCTTCAGCACCTTTTATCATTTCATATGTGAAAGCAGATTTGCCGAGAGATAAGAGAACTAGAAATGTCCCCTTAATTCCAGATCACACCCCTTCTGCTGCTGTCGCAACCTCACCAGTGTTTTCCTGATGATTTTCTAGTCTTTCTGGAACAGGTCAAGAAGCAGAAAACTTCCTGTTTTCAAGCCTTCATTTGGCCACGTTTGTCCAGGATGATCTCAGGTATTTGCTGGCCATGGGAGTGAGAAGGCTGTGGGGAGCACTCTCTTCATTGTGTAGCTCCCCTGATGGGGACAGAAGACTTCAAACGGGGCCCAAAGACAGTGGTTGCTCACCCAGGACGTTTGCCAGCTTGTGGTTTGACTTACTGTTAGATCATGGTTTGTAAAAGAGGGATAATAGGTTGATGCCTCTCATTGCCTGGACTGTGGCTAAGAATAAGTTGCAGTCTACATCAGAGAACATGGTGATAGAAATATCAGAGAATTAAGGAAGGAAGAAAGAGTGGGACCACATGCGTCATAGTAGTATTGGAGAATTTTTCTGGGAGTCTCTGTCCTTTGCAGGAGTAGGAGTCTATCAGTTTTTAAAAATTAAATTTTTTTTCTTTGAGAGAGAGGGAGAGACAAAGGTAGAGGGAAGGAGGGAGGGAGGGAGAGAGAGAGAATGAGAAAGAGAGAGAGAGAGAGAGAGAGAGAGAGAGAGAGAGAGAGAGAGAAATTGAATCCTAAGCACGCTCTGTGCTCAATGCGGAGCCCAACACCAGACTCGATCCCACGACTCTGGCATCATGACCTGAGCCAAAATCGAGAATCCTATGCTCAATGGACTGAGCCACCCAGGCATTCCAGGAGTCTATCAATTTCAAGTTTAGATGAAAGTGTTTACTCAGTATGTTGCAGAGTCAGACAGCTTCTTACTACCTTTACTGCTCCTGCACTAGTGTAAGGTGCCATCATCTCTTCCTTGAAATATTGCCTTCTTACTGGTCTTCCTGCTTCTACCTTTCCACCCCCTTTAGGATATTCTCAACATTTCAGTTAAAGTGATCCTTTGAAATGCACGCCGTATCAGAAGGCTCCAGTGGTTCCTCCATATGAGTGAAGTCAACAAATGATGTGTGATCTGCACCTACTTTTCTTTGCCTTGCTCACTCCACTTCAGCTATGCCGGCTGCCTTACTGTCTTTAAGCACACTAGGCTTACTCTGCCCTAGAGTCTGCCATTTTCCTTTCCTTCTGCCTGGAAAGTTTTTTCACAAGTATATTAGTTTTCTATTGTAGCGTAAAAAATCACTGCGTGTTTAGCCGCTTAAAATAATGTTACATACATTTGTTATCTTATGGTTTTATGGGTGAGGAGTCGGGGCATGCATGGCTTAGCTGAGTCCTCTGCTTGGGGCTGCAGTGAAGGTGTCGGACAGAGCTGGGGTCTCATCTGAGGCTTGGGTTTTCTTCCAAGCTCAGGTGGCTATTGGTAGAATTTATTTCCTTGAAGCTATAGAACTCATGGCAGCTGACTTCTTGAAGGCCAGTAGGAGTCTCTGACTTATGTACCCCATTTTAAAGGCTTATCTGAATTGGGCTCTCCACATACTCTTCTTTTGGTTTCTTTGAAGTCAGCTGATAGAGGACTTTACCTACATCTGCAGAATCCCAAGCAGATAATTAGGTGTTACAGATTCTGAAGGATGGATACTGTCTTTTCCCTGTATTCCATCCCGTATCCAAGGTGATTGCCTGCTTCTGTCAGTTTGTCTTTTAGGTTATCTTATTCCTGCCCATCCCATTCCTACTGCTATCCTAGGTCAGGCCTTTCTCTTATGTGTCTAGAATGTTCTAGTAGCTTCTGAACCAATCAGTCTCTGTTTTCGGGCTCTTCACAGGATCATTTGCATGATCACTAGATTAATCCTTTGAAATAGTCCTTTTATCATGCCAATAATTTCAGTGGCTCTCTAATTTCTTTTTTTGTAAATGTTTATTTTTGACAGAGAGAGAGAGAGAGAGAGAGAGAGAGAGAGCATGAGTGGGGGAGGGGCAGAGAGAGAGGGAGACACGGAATCTGAAGCAGGCTCCAGGCTCCAAGCTGTCAGCACAGAGCCTGACATGGGACTTGAACTCACGGACCGCGAGATCATGACCTGAGCCGAAGTCGGACGCTCAACTGACTGAGCCACCCAGGCACCCCGGCTCTCTAATTTCTGAATTGAGGTGAAATTCATATAATGTAAAATTAATCATTTTAAAGTATTCAGTTCAGCAGCATTTAGTACATTCACAGTGTCCTCCAGCTGTCACCTCTACAGTGATTCTCTGTTGCTTATAGGTAAAGTATGAATTCTATCCAAACTCTTGCCTCACTATCTTTCCAACGTTGTCTTTCCTACATAAACCCTCAAGTTCAGCTCAGTTACTCTCTCTTGCTCTCAAAATTGCCCTTTTACTTCCTACCTTTTTACATTATAAGATTCTAACATGTCCTATTTGTAGTGGTTGCTTATATTTTCTGGGCCCATCCATTTTTTCTTTTCTTTTCTTTTTTCTTTTCTTTTCTTTTCTTTTCTTTTCTTTTCTTTTCTTTTCTTTTCTTTTTTCTTTTCTTTTCTCTTTCTTTCTCTCTTTTTCTTTTCTTTTTCTTTTTTTACATATTTTGAGGCCGTGTTTTCTTATAATAATAAACTTTGTTCTTATGCAGAGTACTTGCTGTCTTTGGCTCCAATATAACATTCAATCCATGCTATTTTATACTATTGTTTATTAGCTTCTCTTTAAAGCATTTTTAAAAATGTTTATTTATTTTTAGAGAGACAGAGTGTGTGTGAGTAGGGGAGAGGCAGAGAGAGGGAGAGTGAGAGAATCCCAAGCAGACTCTGTGCTGTCAGCACAGAGCCCGATGCAGGGCTCCATCCCATGAACTGTGAGACCATGACCTGAGCCAAAATCAAGAGTTTATGCTCAACCGACTGAGCCACCCAGGCACCCCTTGTTTATTAACATTTCTTATGTCTAGGTCTGTTCCACCAACAAAGCTGTGAAGTACTTGTGCTGGTTAGCTACTGCTGTGTAACAGATCTCCTCAAAACTCCATGGCTTAAGATAACTATTACTATAGCTCACATGTGTGGATAGCTGGGGTTTGGTTGATCTTGGCTGAGCTCCACTGAACTCTTTCATATCTCTGTGGGTCAGTGGCAGGGATGGGGCCAAGTGGGGTGGGGGCTCTGCTTTCTCCTGGGCATGGTTGGCATGGGTCAGAAGAGGCAGCTCTGTTCCACAGCTCTCCTCCTTCTCCAGAGAGCCATAGGCTAGCCTAGGCATGTCCTTGTCATGGTGACAGCAGAAATGTGAAGGAGCCAATGGGACCACTCAGGTCTCTTGGGCCCTAGGCTAAGAACTGACACACCATAACTTGTGTTTCAATCTGTTGACCAAAGCGAACCATATGACTGAGCTCAGAAAGTGGTAGGGAAATACACTTTGTTTTTTTAAGTTTATTTATTTTGAGAGACAGAGCAAGCAGGGGAGGGGCAGAGAGAGAGGGAGAGAGAGAGAATCCCTAGCAGGCTCTCTACTGTCAGCATGGAGCCCGAAGTGGGGCTTAAACTCACGAACCGTGAACTCATGACCTGAGCTGAAATCGAGAGTCAGATGCTTAACCGAGTGAGCCAGTCAGGTGCCCCTATACTCGTTTTCTTAGTGGGAGAAACCACAAAACCATATGGAAAGAGGCTGTGGATATAGGAAAATGTGAAGAATTGGGGTCTTTGATGCAATTTACCACATGTTCTTGGCAGATTCCTCTCTGCTTCCCTACAGCACTTGACCATGTTAAATACAGATGTATCAGTTACCTGTTGCTTTGTAACAAACTTCCCCCAAACTTAGTGGTTGTAAAACATCAGCCATTGTATTTGCTCATGATGCTCATGATTCCATGTGTCAGCCAGGCAGAGCTCAACTGGGATAGTTCATCTCTGCTCTAGGAGATGCCAGCCAGTCTTGCTCATGTGGCTTTAATTTGAACTGGAGCCTCTAGCGTTCACATGACTGGCCTTTTGGCTGGGACTGCTGGGACAATAACCCCTTTCTCCCCTAAGGGTCTTCCTGTTTCCAGGGTCCCCTTCTCCATGTAATTTCTCCAGCAGGGTAGCTGACTCTTTTTACATGGCCATCTCCAAGTTCCAAGAGAATGAAACCAGAAGCCAAGGGCCATTGAGGCAATGACTCAGAAGCTGCACATCACTTCCCCTGCATCCTGTTGGTCAGAGAAAATCACAGGCTTCTCCCAGATTCAGTAAGAGGAGAAATCGACTCCACCTCTTGATGAGAGCAGGGCACAGATACGATGTGTGGGGTGAGGGGAATTGAGCCACAACAGTAAGACACTCAGTAAATACTTGTTGAATGGTATTTGAACAGATTAATGAAGCAGAAGCAGGGTCTATATATGAAAAAAAGACTCTGGTGTAGGACTCTGATGCAGTAAAATTCTGATGCAACATTCTCTACTTTCCAGTTATCTTCATATTTGTCTGCAACCTCAGATGATAAATTTCCCCAGATCCGTTGGCATCAAACAGCAGACTTTGGCTATGTCCCCAACGTGAGGATGCCCAACACTTTCATGGCAGTAGCAATGGATCTCTGTGATAGGACGTCCCCTTATGGCAGGTATGGGTGCTTCTTGGGCTTTGCTTGAACAATAATCTATGTTCTTTGTCTGTGGCCTTCATTCTGATGTTCACTTGTGAGGGGCAGAGAGTGGGTGTTATGAGGATTGGACCTTCGGAGCCTTATCTATCATTTACACTGGGGATGTGCTGCAGTAACTCAACATCTCAGCGCCCTGATGAGACAACATTTTATTTCCTGTTCACAATACATGTCCAAAGAAGGTCAACAGAGAGGCTTTGCTCGTTATAGTCATTCACAGATGTAGAGTGATGGAGGTTCCAAGTTGATCTGGGCTCCTGGTCACCTTAAAGTCTCACACTGGCAATGAAAGTAACGCATGTTACTTCTACTCACGTTGCATTGGCTCAGAGCAGGTAATATGGCCATGCCTGGCTTCAGCGAGAGCAGGCACGGAATTCTTCCATCAACTCAGAGGAGGAATAAAGGGATATCTGTGAACGGCTCCAATGACTACCACACGCTTGCTGTGGGATACAAGGGGATTTGAAATATGAAATGGGGCCCACACAGTGTCTGGTTTATAGTGAGAACTTAAATGAATATTTATTTTTGGACCAATGAATATTTATTGATTGTCCTATCTGAACCTGGAGGGTTTTATTCATTGAACATGTGAACACCTGATTCAGATGAAACGCAGGACTGCCAGTGGTTGGAGTAAGTTTAAGTTAGCTCTCCTAGGTTAGTTCCAGTGCCTTTCCTCTGTCACTCAGGGACCTGTATTTCTTCCTTCCAAGTCATCTGCTATTTCAAGGTTTCTAACCCATAGGATGCCCGGAGCCCCATTATGGTTACTGTTCACCATGTCTCTTAAGCTGACGAGCCATTGACCTGTTAGATTCAGTCAACTTTGTTCTTACCTTCCTAAAGGGTGCTTTGTATAATCCTTCCCCACCCCTTCCCCCCCTCCCCCCCGTTTTTAAATGTGGCTATTGTTCAGTGAAAACCCAAAGTTCTCTGCCTGTTCTTTATCCGTAGCATCCACCCTCGAGATAAACAGACTGTGGCCTACAGGCTGCACCTGGGGGCCCGGGCTGTGGCCTATGGTGAGAAACTGATCTTTCAAGGACCACTGCCTGAGAAGATGGAACTCCTGGCTGACAGGGGGCTGCTAAACCTCACATATTCACAGCAAATCCAGGTGAAGAAGCAGGACAAAATATTTGAGGTGAGAATAGCCAGAACTTAATAGGGGTTCATCCTGGGTTGGGAGTCAGGATTTCTCCACACTGAGGCCCATCATCTCTTTAATTGTAACATTTCTGTGAAGGGGATCTTGGTTTTTGGCGGGGCTGAGTTTATCTCAGAGGGGTGACTAAGTAGCTATTAATTCTTTAACTTAGGGGCAATTTTGATAGGACAATCAAGGGAAGGAAAATGAATCTACATTAAAATATTCCTTTTGTTTTTTCGCTCCCAGAGCATCCATCTTTGCTCTGGCAAGGGCCTGCAGCTTTATTTGTAGGTTACCTTTGGAAGATTCCTTATTCCAGAGTGTTTCTCTCATCTTGGATGTCTTTTTATGTCACACTATCGCAAATTCTGATAGTCTTTTGAGTTTAGTGTTTCCTTTGAGAGGCTTAGCTTGGGAATTTGTAGCTCATTGTAAATTAATGTAATGAAACTACTTTCTTCTAGCACGTAGCGAGGATCATTCCACTGTGGAACTAGGGCTAATAATTAAAGAGCTTATGTAGTCTTTCTTCCCTAGTTGGGGGTGGGGGTGAGGCATTCCTATTGGAACATGCAAATGAGCTTCTTTGGGAACCAGGAGGCCATTAGGCTGGTTGGAGGGGGTTGCTGTATGAAAAGAGGGCACTGGAGGGAATGAAAGAATATTAAAGACAGACTTTAATTACACGGGTTTATCCTTGCTCCTCCTCTAGAGTCCTAACTACAACATTCACAGGCCTCAGGGCAGCGCTTGCCCCACTGAGCTTCTTTGGACACTGGGTTTTAGGTAGTTCTAGCTCCCCAGACGTCTGCGTTCTGACTTCAGTTCTCCCATGGCAGAACGGCCTGTCACCTGGACCCAGAATCATAGTGGGGAGCAGGACAGAATTTAACCTGGGGTACTGAAAACTTCATGTCCCGTTCCTTGGATTGCTTTCTGGTTTGAGAAAGGCTCTCTGTCCAAGGTTCCTTTGTGCCCCTTGTTTGTCGTCCCCGGCCCCTTCGGGAGTGCTGGAGTTGTAGCAGCAGCTGGACTGCCCCGCTCCCTCACTTCCTGCCTGCTATGCTGTCTGGTCGGAAGGCTCACAGCAAGGAGGTTCAGGGGAGCCCTCTCTAAATGCTCTATGTGATTATGTTTCCTTGTCTCCCTCAGTAATTTAATATTTTTTTAAAAATTGATTTATTTTGTTACAGGAACATTCATTATCACACCAACCTGGGTTTGGGTTTGTTCTGGTTATTGTAGGAAATGGATCCTGGGCCAAGAGTGGCTCCTTCTGTCCCTTGTGGTCTCTTGGAGTATCCTAACTGACCTAACTGTTCCCATTTTTCTGATTCTCTTACTAGATCTCATGTTGCAGTGACCGTCAGTGCAAGTGGCTCCCAGCTCCCATGGGCACTTTCTCAGCCCAGACCCTGGCCCTGAATGTCAGTTCTTGTCACGGCACTCCGGCTGCTGTTCGCTATGCCTGGACCACGTGGCCTTGTGAATATAAGCGGTGCCCCCTGTACCACCCCAGCAGCACCCTGCCGGCTCCTCCCTTCATCGCTTTCATGACAGACCAGATCCCTGGAGATCTCAGCAAGCTTGCTAAATGATTTAGCGGCATTGCGATCATTACCTTGGACATAAGTGTGCGTCCTTTCGATGTGGGCATTTAGCTGTTGAAGTGATGACAGCTATAGCTTTTAAAGGCAACTAATAGAAAAGCCACATTGGACAGCTCCCAGCTAGCACATGGCTGTGTCCGTGTTCTGAACAGGCGATGAGCAGCGCTGGCAGGCTAATGAGATGCTTGCCTCTTGTCCCCTAGTCAGCCTAGGTGTCTTGCCAGACTAATTCCCAACTACAAATGGAACTTCAGTGTCCTTCACTTCCCTGTGGAGAGTGCAGTGTCTAACACTTTTGTCTACTTATATCCAGAACTGTGGAAACTCGTGGCTGGAAAGGGTTTGAAGGCCATGTGGGCCAGCTCCTATTTATGTCTTCTTTACAAAATCTGGTAAGTGGTTACTGAATCTCTGTATAAAGTTTCTAAACTTCCCAACAGTTTTTTCTTATGTGGAGATGAACTCTTTCTAGGCCTGTTTGTGTTCTGCCTTAAGCCAAAGCCAGTTCTGTTCCTTTCAGTCTAATAACAATAACGTGAATGTTTGAAACCAACAGGAACTGTGTGCGTGCATCTGGGGAGATGCGAAGGGGCTGCTTTAAGGAATGAGGAGAAAGGGTGAGGTGGCGGCGGCCCAGGAAGGCACTCAGGCAGTCAGTGACGGGTGGGGGAAACACGGGCTCAGGAAAACATGGCAGTAGAGGTCACGGACAGGCAAACAGGTTAAATACAAATCTCAGGCTTTCTAAGGTAAGAGGTTTACCTCTAAAAAGGATAACCCAGATGGAAGAAAAAAGAGGCTGAAAATAAAGCTACACAATAAGCATTTAGAAAAATAATCCAGATGGGACAAATGTGAAAGTGGGCTTCTGTGACTGTTAAGAATCCTAATGCAAAAAGCAAAAAACCAAAAAACATAGCACTACTGCTTATTGGTTGATTAAAAACAGCTAAGGGCACTTGGTAATTGTGTCCTCTATTAGAATTTGGAAATAAAAGTATAATCATTAGTGACGTGTAAACATTTATAGCCCACCAAAACTGGGTTAGGAACAGTAAATGTGCTTTGAAGCATGAGGAAGGAGGAAGATTTATTTGAGTAGCTTCCACTCCCTTAATGGGAAAAATAAGAACTAGAGTAATAAGCACCTGACCCCAAGGGGTCCTGGTGTAGCGCTGAACAGCAGGAATAGCTGTCAGTGTCAGGATTTATTTTAGTAAGAAAACAAAACAACTATGCAGTATACAAAGAACTTTGGCTCCTCTGAGGACTTCCTAGTGTACAATTAACTCCTAACACCCATACTTTGACCTCATATGCCTCTGGCCTAAGGGGAACCAGGGACCTGGGAACAGACTCCTGAGAAATAAATCTCCGGGTCCACCCCTCCCCTGTGCCAACACACATTCACTCATGGGCTGTCCTAACTTGTAGGCAGCTGGACATGGTCAGGAACCCCATACCCAGGCTCCTTTCCTAGTGCACACAGTGGGAGATACTAGGTTTAGGTAGTGGATATACTAATGAAAAGTCATGTGAAACTTAAAAATTTTTTTTAATGTTCATTTATTTTTGAGAGACAGAGACAGCGCGAGCAGGGGAGAGGCAGAGAGAGGGGGAGACACAGAATCTGAAGCAGGCTCCAGGCTCTGAGCTGTCAGCACAGAGCCTGATGTGGGGCTCGAACTCACGAACTGCGAGATCATGACCTTGTGGGGCTCGAACTCACGAACTGCGAGATCATAACCTGAGCCGAAGTCGGACACCAGACCGACTAAGCCACCCAGGCACCCTGTGAAACTTTATTTTTAATGGCTGAATGCTTTTAAACATTCTGTGGAAATTCAGTTAATTTCCCAAGTGAAAATAACTTTTTAGTATTTGTAAAATGAAATTTATAACTATTGTAGATTTGGACACAAACAAAAAGAAGAAACAAGTAAAAATCACCCCAAAATCCACCATTTGGCAAAAAACATTTAATATTTTGGTAAACATTCAGTTGATTTGCTTGGGTTATATTTTATACACTACATGTCATACTATTTTGTAATCTGTTTTTGGCTTATTCTAGTAAAATAATTTTCCTATGTAAATTGAATATAGTGTTTTAGTTTGTGGGAGCCCCATACTTTATTTAACCAATTTTTCCATTAGTGGACACAGATTTTTTTTTTTCCAATTTTTCCGTTAAAACGAATACAGTGATGAATGTTACATGCAAACATCATACTGTACTTTCTTCCTTAGGATCCTTAATGTGAAATAACAATTTTAAGGATTAAACATGTTTAAAAGTTTGATACCTGCAGCTTAACTCTCCTGAAGGGTCCAACAGTTTACATTCGCACCAAGGCACAGTGCCATTTACGCTCTCCCACTGACACTGGATAGTGTCAGATTTCACTCTCTTAACCAATAGATGAAAAGACGTTTTGAGTATACTGGGGTGGAGGGAGGCTCGTTTTTTTTTTTTTTAAAGAGTTTTTTTTTAACGTTTATTTATTTTTGAGACAGAGAGAGACAGCATGAACGGGGGAGGGGCAGAGAGAAAGGGAGACACAGAATCGGAAGCAGGCTCCAGGCTCTGAGCCATCAGCCCATAGCCCGACATGGGGCTCGAACTCACGGACTGTGAGATCGTGACCTGAGCTGAAGTGGGGCGCTCAACCGACTGAGCCACCCAGGCGCCCCGAGGCTCAAGTTTTTAAAAAGGATGATCTGTAGTAAAACATTTTACCTTTATTCCATGTACTCCCTTCATGTGTGTACATGTGATTTTTATATAAATACATATATATATTCTACAGTTGAAACCCAAATTTCAATTTTTGACATGTGATGCATTCTATTAAGTTATAATTGTTTTATTTAATTTTAACAGGCGTAGGTCTTACCTCCCTAAGTTTAGGGACAACTGATGGGTTGAGATCTGTACTTTGAAAATTACTCTTCTAGGAAAGCTACAAAGTAAATACTCTTATTAAAGCAAGCAGCGCAATAACTTAAAAAGATCTTAAATAATCTTTCTTAAAATGAGGTTCTCTTGTATGTGTTTTACTCAGAATGTAATACAATGGAAAGATATTTGCTCTATGGTAAAAGCAGCATATATCATTTCTGTAGGAGTGCACATATGTCCAGCCAACGTGTGCAGTGAAGAAAGAAAAACATTAAAGCATGAACAGCTTTGAGTAATCCCCCTTTTATCCCAGGTTTGGTGTTATCCTAATTTTATTTTTTTGTACTGTAAAAGCTGCACAAACTTATAGAGACCAGAGTTAAGAGCCATACAATTACTAGCAGTTAACTTTCGTTTCTGATACTTCTGCTGCCCATCTGTTCCTAGGAAACAAACCCCTTCGTGTTGTCCCTGGTCAGCAGCTACGAACTGCAGCACAGTGACAACTGACACTCCTTCCCCGTTCTCCTTCTGGGGTCCTTCTGTTGCTTCCTTCCAGCTGTCCCGGTCCCTGGTTGGACGGACAGCAGGGCCTCCCATGCGGTACTGCTGGGGTCCAGACGGGGTGACGCGGTAAACCTGTACCTTAGTGGCACGGGCAGGGTCCAACACATTCGGTTGCACAAAATACGGAGTCAAGTTATTACAGAGCTAGTGAAGTGACTGGGTGAGCCTGTGAGGGAGGGTGGGAGCGCCCCTGCCCTCCCGGCATGTTGTATCTGTGCCATCATGTGGATTCAACGTATTCAGCTACAAGCACATTCCCGGGTAAGGAACGGCAAAGAGCCGGTAGGAAGGATTACAGAGGACTTTTGGTTTCCCTTGAAGGATATGAAGTGTGAAGAAAAAGATGAACGGCGTGCCTTGGGCCAGCCTCTCTGGCTTGGGGAGAAGCAGACTGGACTGTGATTGTCCAGACATGGAAATGAAGCAGCTGCTGGGGTAGCAGGGGCTGGGCCTTCATTCCTGGAGCTAGGATCAGAATCCAGGTGGAAGGCTGGGACTCCTTCCACCTCTCCCTCCTGAGTCTGCAGCCTGTTCTCATTCCGGCTTATAGAACACTTAGGTTTGCTCTACCACTTCGGGCAGAGCTAAGCAAAAAAGAAAGAAAAAAAAAAAAAAAAAAAAAAAAAAAAAAAAAAAAAAAAAAAAGAAAGAAAAAAAATCCTGATCACAATGAGATGAAAATAAGCAGATTTGTAAAGAGAAATTTATTGCTAAAAATAAAGCAGCTGCAGTTTTTCCAAGGGAACACTGTCACCACAGGAACCTCTGTAACAAAATGTGTATCTCCTTCATTCCTGAACTGCTGCCTTCTTCCATATTCTAAGTTTTACTTTAAGTTAAATGATGTGGCATCTGACCCCTTCCTGATCAATCTGAAGACTGAGTTGGGCTACACTGGGACAGAGACTTCAGGTGCTGTAGATGAGTGTCTACCAGGGGTTCATGCGTCAGGAACATGGGTTGATAAGAAGACACGAAGGCCGTGGGCTGAAGCTCTGGAAGGTCCAAGGATCCTGGAGAAGAAAATTCCTTCAGTTCCATTGCTGCCTGGGAGTCTCAAGGGACTGATCCCACACGTGAATGTCCTTTCAGTACCTAACACTCTTGCCCGTCAGCCTAATTTTGCCCTTGCTTGGTAAGATAGGACAGAAATTGACTTTTACAACAAAGAAAACTGTGGCCAAAATAGATTGTTTTGTCTAGGGTTATATAGTATACAGACAAAAAGTGAAGATTTTAATTCTATGATTTCTAGTCCAGAGCTCTGCCTATGTGACCCAACGCCAGATCCCCTGAGAGCTCCACCCATCTGTGGGAGGGAACCCACCCAACACAGGCAGGACCAAGGCCATCATCTGCTCCCCTTCACTTCACATGAAATTCTTGTCCTGAGCAGTCAACTTTCCCCTGCAGTTCCGCTTGGGTCTGTTTTAGGTGGGAAAACGAGAAAGCCTGGTTTCCCTGTGGGCCCTGCCTCACTGTGACGGCAGCCGCTCCCTGTCACCCCTGCAAGTGCTGC